CAGACCTATGGGTACAGAGTTACTTTTTTTTATATGAAATATACTTTTTTGCTATCGCCACGGTAGAGCAACAAAAACCATGTAGGAAAAAAATTTTTTGCTATCTGGCTTCTAGGAGCCGGCTGGAAAGGGTTAACAGCATGCATATTTTAGAATGCCTATTGAACTGATTATCAAGATAGTTCTAATAACTGTATGGGCCAATGGAAGATTTAGCTTATCATGAGACAGTTTTAATTTTCTTTCAATAAACTTCCATCATCGAGTGTTCGTTTTGCTTGAAACAGCGAACACAATCGCTAGTTGTTTATTGATCATGTATATTAAAACAAATAAGTTATATTTTCACTTACCAATAGAACTTTCACAATTTTGTTTAGGTTCAAAAAAAGATTGTTTTACGTATGGATTTGATATCGTCGAGGATGATATTCAATTAAACATGTACGGTTGGAGTAATCCTCCAAGCCTGCGAGAACAATCTGAAGAAGCTGCTAAAGTTATCCATAACAGTACTTCATCATCATCACTTCAACGAACAGTGTCATCGTCATCAAGTTGTTCCAATACATTATCATCAAAACAAAAGAAAAGAAAATTAGATCATAAAAATACTAACATTGATGAATTAGTAGTTGTTGATGATGCATCTATGCCACCACCTTCAACATCGTTAATGATTTCTTCAGCTCAAACAAGTAATTCTGCTACGGCAGATGTTGTTCCTGATGTACCATCAACTTCAAATAATCAATCATCATCATCGGCTTCAAATTCTACATTGAACACAACAAATATGACAACGTCATCAATTGATACCAATAGTTTATTGGAAGAGATCAAATCATTACGAGAAAAAGTGTTATCGTTGCAAAATGAATTACTCTATCAACGTCAATCGTCAATGCGTGAGTGATAACTCGTATTTGAACTTTTCCCTGAATTTTTCTTATTTCTACAAATCTCTTATTGATAGAGATTGTCCTAAATGCAAGGTTTTTCTTTTCTTAATTTTCATAATTTTTACTTCCTTACAATTCTGAGTTGTTTACACGTAAAGACTCCATATTTTTATTCTTTTTCGTTGAAAAAAAAAGAATCCAAATTTATATTTTTAGCTCTACCAAGTGAAGAAACTTACAATTATTTCAAGTCTTCATGTGTAATGTATGAGCAAATAAAAAGTGAAAATAACAAGCAATCTGCTGAAGTAAAATATAAGTCACATTATTTTATATTTCGACTTTTTTAATTGTACCCATTCTTCATTTAGTTAGGAAAAAAGCTACCATGTACGAATATTGAATTGAAGTTAGCAAAAAGCTCAAATCCATCAGCTACCATTAATAATTTAATTAAATGCTGTTTAAAAAATATTGATTTGAAAACTATGTCTTACGACAAATTAAAAAAAGGCAATGCTGAATTATTAGAACGAATTCTTCGTATGTAAAATTCCACTTACTTTCATATAACATTTTCTTTTAATTTATCTTCGTTGCTTCTCTTTATATGTAGAATATGTCAGACTTATTCATGCTCCAACGGACATTCCACAGGCAAAATTTTCTTCAGTCATTTCACTCAAGTGCCGGCATATTCGTTCAAATGCAAAACATGGAAAAAGCGTTTCAACAACAACAAAAGAGAAACAAAAACAAAAGAGAAATGAAATGCATGACAGTAATAACCATGAAGGTCAAAAAAGACAAGTTGTTGAAGCGACAAACAAAATATCAATTAAAGATATGGATGAAGAAAAAGAAAATGAAGATGAGATTATCTAAAAGGAACATTAAAATGAAATACTATTGTGTGCTGAGATAAACAAGTGTTCTTTATTGGGTTTTACTTAGATTGTTGAATGCAGCTTCTAAATAGATAATAAATAAAAAACAGTAGCTTAGATAATTACGTATTAGTCTTTAAAGTTTATGTTGATTGTAACGATGGCTGCACTACAATGAGATGAATTTCAAGTAAATTAAAATGCCTTATACAGCTTTCTACATAGGTACAAATAGGGCTAAATAATTACACTTGTTGATCTTCATATTAAGTGTTACTAATCGTTTTTTTTTATTTAGATTAATAAAGTTTTTAGTGTAGTATTCTATATATATGCCTTCTCCAGCTACTCATTATCGACGAAGAAGTGTTCTTTTAAGTCACAATGCTACGAAAATGAAAAGCCCATTAATTAAACTACCAAGAGAAAGTAAAAGATCGTTACGAATTTACATTTGCATGTGCTAAAACTTGTATTTATTTGAGTAGATCTTTGTGTTGTAGCAAATAATGAGCAATGTTTGATAACATTGAACGGTAAGATTAGTCTATAAGTTGTCTTTTTTTGGGAAGATGAATTCAAAAATTACTGCATTTTTTTATTATTTTCTCGAATTTTTGGAAGCATAATTAATTTCATAACTGTTTTCTCATATCCAGACTCAACAGAATCAAATACAATAATAACAACAACAAATGTTGATTATTTGAATTGTTCTCTTACAATAAAAAATGATACAATTGGTAAGTATTTTGTCTATATTGAAATTACATAATGCATAACGTTGTATTCAATAAAAAACTTTATCTTCATTTTTGTAAGAAAAAAATACAAGTTTCTTAATAAATAAAATTCTTCATCTTTCGCATGTGGCATTATTTATCTTTACAGAAGCAATTAATCGTCGTTCAGAATTAACATTACGTGATATAGCGGCAGCAATTATGATCTTTAAAGTTCGTCGCTTTCAAAACAACAAAGATGTTGATGTAATTTGCAAATTCTTTAATTTGTTGAGTTCTCAACATATTCCAAAAAGTATGAAAGCGATTCAACAGCAACTTCATCAAGATTTTGATTTAAAAAAATTCTGCACATGTTACTACATATGTTCTAATTGTGGAACATCGGATTCGAATTATACGGTTATATGTAGATCATGTAATGATACATCTATATTTAAATTTTATTTATGTTCAATCAAACACCAAATTCAACAACTCTTATCAATTTTTGGAGTTTTCAGTAAATTAAAGGAAGAAAAACTTAAAAATATGCAATTGTTTTCTAATACGAAGTATGGAAAAATTCTTCAAGAAATTGAAGATAATGCGCTTACTATGATAATTAATTCCGATGGAGGTTCTACACCTAATAAATATTTATCGTTGTGGCCGTTTCTTCTCATTTTGAATGAACTACCAATTCCCGAACGCCGGTACTTGGAAAATATGTTAGTTGCAGGTATTATACCAACCGGAAAAAAGCCGACTAATTCTGTTGTTCAAGCTTGCTTACATCTTATATACGAGCAATTGATACAGTTAGAAATAGGACAAGAATTTTACATTAATGATATTGATGAACGAAGGATTATTCACTTTTACAATATAGCAAGCTGTACAGATAAACCAGCCGAAGCATTGATGGAAAATGTTGTGCCGTATAATGCCGAATATGGGTGTCCTAAATGCTTTCATGCTGGTATGAGTATTGATTAACTCTTTAGCATGCATTTCAGTTTTAAAGTACTTAATAGTTGTCATACATTTAAAAATCATGCTGAAAATTTTCAATTAGCTACGTTATTGTAATATCTTTTGTATATTTATTTAGGTGAATTATATCATGGACAGCGAGGTTCCGGTGCTAAAGAAGTAACATTTACCATTCGTGTTTATCCTTTCGTTGATTATGAACTTCGAACGCAAGAAAAATGTTCTCAAATTGTTGAAGAATTAGCTACTTACTTATATCAAACCAAAAATAATATTTCGATTTGTAGCAAAAAAAAAATTGTACGGACAAAAAACAGAAAGAAAAACCAAAATAAAAAAAATCGTTATGGTCATCTTGGTAAGACTTCATAACAGATAAATTTATCGAAAATAATGATCAATTTTGAATCTAAGATATTTTATAGTAGTAAAACCTATAACAAAGCAAAGATTTTTTAAAAATATCTTCGTATTCTAAACTATATCTTTGATAAATAAAACTTAATATATAACAATAATTTTTCTTTGATAGTCGCTAATTCAGAGATAAAAGTAATCAAATACAAACATGTGAAAAGATTATTTATTACTCACATTTTTCAAATAATTCCAATATTTTCAATCTTTCACTATTGCAGGCTGCTGTCCATTGACAAAATTGAAATACTTCCAATACGGGGGATCTTTCATGACAGATTCTCTTCACACAGTTTATGCAGGTGCATTCAAGCAACTCTTACATCTTTTATTTGATTCAGAATATCGTCGGGAACGTTGGTCTTTGTTTAAGAAAATAAATCTAGTTGATGACTTATTATCATTAATTCAAGTTCCATCAACAACACAGCGTCGATGTCGTTCAATCAAGTACATTTCTAAATATAAAGGAAGTGAATTCCGTTGCTTATTTCATTTTGGTTCAACAGCTATTATACAATGTATGGATGATAATTCATTAAAAACTTTGTTATTGTCATTTGTAACAGCAATTAATCGAGCATCAGCTAATTATGTAACAGATGAAAGTATTGAAACTATTAGAAAGTTATTAAATTATTTTGTTCAACAATTTCAAGAAATATTTGGTTTACGTCATATGAGCTCAAATGTCCATTCTCTGTTACATTTGCATGAAAGTTTAAATTTCATGGGTCCATTGTGGTTTTATTCTACATTTACTTTTGAAGGTAATTATGTAATATATTTTGCTTTTAAAATTTGTTTCAATTTTTTCTTGCAGGAATCGACAAGGATTTGATAAGTACAGTTCATGGTACAACAGAATTTGCTAAACAACTTATCCGACAACATATTTTGTATCGTGATGCTATCGTTCAGCATAAAAATGAACATTATCCAATGATTTTATTTAAATTCAATGAAAATTTACTTAATCGAAAGCAAAGCAAAATTCACTATAAAAATTTTGTTGATTTATGCTATTTACCGAACCCTGTATCTAAAGAATTGTACGATACAAGTGAAAATGGTATTGCAACAAATGTTCAATCTTTGTTTAATGACAATCTAACATTTTATCATTCTTTAATAATATCAGATGTTCTATTGAAAACCACAGTAATCAATCATGGTAAATTAGTAGGTGATAATTGTATCTCGTTTCATTTTGATAATGATAAAACAAGATATGGACTTATTAGAGCTATTGTTAAATCGAAACAAGATAGTGTGCGTTTATTTATTGAAGAACTTATTGAGAGAAAATCTGAAGGATCAAAATTCAAATTCAAAATTAATGATGAACAATATCAACTTCCATTTATATTTCGTTTAAAACGTTCAAACATTTTTCATCTTAAACATCCTAAATGGATTTTTAAAAAAAATGCTATTGTATGTGAACCTGGCAACTGTGTGACTGTTTTAGAATATCCAAACTTGAAAGACAGTAGTTAAATAAATAAAATGTATTATTATTCGTAATTGAATGAATATTTTGTTCACAATAGTCGAAAATGTTCAGATGGAATTCTTTCAATCACAATCTTGTGATCTACTATTCTAGTTAAGCCAGCAATTTGAATCTTTTAACCCTTACTAATGGCTGACTTAAATCAAGCGCTTTGTACAGAAATTTGTATACAGAGTTGAAGGATGCAAGAGACTATTGAACTATCAGAATGACCAGGATTCATTGTTGATAAATTAACGGATCGTATGGTTCAACTGGTTAACAAGAAAAGTTTGTATCACGAAGTATGTATGTTCGAATCTAATCTTCATCTCTATATTTCTATCGTTTAGACTAGTCCGGACGTCAACACAAGACTCAAGAAGATGGATTCAGAAAGTTATAGCCATATACTATATCGTGTGAGGCATACCCTTCGATAGAAATTTTTTTAGATTTTTCGGGCGTTTCAGACGGTCGTCATGACAGGTCATTCAGACTAGTCTTTTTTTTTGACAAGGTCTCGTATATGACTAGTCCGAAGACTTTGAAACATGCAGCATTTGTGGGATAAATTACCATCATACCAATTTGTCATGACTAGTCTTTTTCGCAAAAAGTTCTCATACAGGACTAGTCCATCAATTATGAACTCTTTCCTAGTCCTGGACGGGTCTTTTTTGCAAAACAGACTAGACCTGTCAGAGTCAATGACACCCGTCAGTTGCATAGTCTGGACGGGCACTGCTGACGGCAGCTTTTTTCCAGACCAGTCATAGTATAGTCCGTTTTGAGAAAAAGACTATACCAGACGCCCCGTCCGGACTAGATAGGGGACTAGTCTTTTTACCCGTCCACTGCCCACCTGGGTATGGATGCAAGACGATTGAACAAGATATATAAAATTTTATGTAGAATCAAGTTTGTCTTTCAACTGCTACTTATCTATAAGGAAATTTTTCTGTGCGATTATGTATTTTCTTCGTAACTCAAATTGAATAATCAAACTATATATAAATGTATTTATCTAATTTATATACAATCACATATCTCAAGCATAGGTTTACACCCATAATTAATAGGTGAAAAAAGTTGTACATGTTACATCGTGGAATAAATAAGAATAAGAAACAACCTTTATCTTCAACAGTTGTTCTTAATATATATTAATTACATGTCTATTTTCTTTTTCGTTCTGTTCGTTTGTTCTGTCAATATATAAAAAAAAGAGACATCAAAGAAAAAAGAATATATTCACACACAGAGCAGAAATGGCAGGAAAGAAAAAAAAGCGCTACTTTCAACGTAAAATAGTTTTTCATTCTTTTCTCAAAAACTAAGAGTTGTCCCAGAAAGGGAGTAGCATATTTGGAATCCTTATAAAATTTTGAATCGAATGATGT